AACAATCCTTTAGTTTTCTTTACAAGGCTTATATTGGGCAAATCACTTGTAAAAACTAAAAATTTTATTTGGGCAAGCCTCGGGAGAAGGGTTAATAATTTTCTCAAAGTTGAATGTAATTAACCATTGTTTAATTCAAAATTATCCTCAGTACCAAGCATTGTCGATGTTGGGTCGTACAACACTTTTCTAAAACTTTGAAATTATTAAGGTTTAATATGGTGAAATCCGACTATGCTTATCCGGTGGGGTTTCACCAATAACCATTTCACTAGTAAACCCACAAATGGAGCCCACATGTTTTAAAATTTATTGCTTAATTTAAAACCTTCACCCAGTCAATATTTTTTATTGAGAATTTTCATAAGTATTGTCTAATGTAAAATTTATTGTTAGATTTTAAAATTGTCTTTAATAACTTAGTATTGTCGAACGATGGGTCATACAATACTTTATTAAAATTTTGAAATTATTAAGACCAAAAAAATCTAATTATGCTTATCCGGTGGGAATTTACATGATTATTTTATTGGTAGGTCCACAATGTGCCTCGAGGTTAAATTAATTTCTTAATTTAAACCACCTCCCATGATTATTTAGGTTTAATCTAATAAAATCTAATCATGATTATTTTATTATTGGTTCAACAGTGCAGTGGGAGACTAAATTAATTTCTTAATTTAAATATCCTCCTATGCAACATAAGCAATTTTTTAATTTTTTAGAATTGTTCAATTGAAAATAGCCTTCGTTTGATTTCAAAAATCATGTAAGCAAGCATGCCGGTAAATGTGCATCGTTGAGCTTATCAAAATTTTGAAAATATTAAGGTCCTAAAATTCGGTTATGATAGGCAACATGGGCACTACATAATCATGATAAATGATTGTTGTATGCAGCATGTGTTTAACACATGGCCATTTTAGAAGGCCCACAAATTTACTCACATTAAACTATTCTCTTAGGAAATATTCTGAATTATTTATCGAGATTTATATTAGGGATATGTTATACTTACTACCATTTTTTCTTATTAACTCTTACTACCAACTTTGTTATCGTTGGATCAAAATCAAATTAACGGTTATAAAATAACATCAAATGAGAACTGTTGATTTGATTTTGATCCAACGATAACAAAGTTGGTAGTAAGAAAAAATGATAGTAAATATAACCTCCCTCTTTATATTATACTAAATAATTGACTTAATTATCAATCTAGATTTAAGAAGCATAATAATTGTCATTTATGAGGATAATTTGAAATCAAAATAATTTTCATAAGGACCATTAATCATTAAATTCGTTAGGCACATATGTCAAAAATTAGAATTAATGTCATAATGACCATTAATCTAGCTTCTCAAATGTAACAACCATTACATTTAAATTTAGAAATATACATTAATTGTCATAATGAATATTAATCTAGTCGTTCAAACATAACAATCATCATTCCCATGTAATTGACAAATTATGCAACAATATGACACCACATATTCTATATGGCATGTTATCACATCAAGCATTTTATCAATCATATAATTCATTCACTCAAAAAAGAAGTAATTATCAAAATAGGTTTTAATCCATGGTTCCCTAGAGGAAAATAAAATAAAATTACAAAATAAAACAAAAATCTCTTCAGCCATCTCCTCTTTCCTTTTAGTCCATAGGGATCTGGTTCAAGCCCCTTTATGGAAATTATGGGCCCAAAATACCAAACTTTGACAAGAAACCCTAAGTAAACTTATAGGAACCCTAACCAACACGTTCATTGCGCCGACACATGAACTCATCTCTTCACGAAACTCCAGGGATAGAACCTCCATGAATAGAGGAAACATGGAAGCACCGAAATAGGACTCTCCACTCACCCTAACGTGCCTCTTCTTTGCCGGGGAGTAAGTCCCACTCGCAACCACTTCTGGTGGCGCGTGGCTGCTCTTGTGGCATCTGTTTCTTCCGTTTCAACTACCGTTCATCTCGTAATTCCATCCTCTATCACATCATGGGGTTAGTTCCTTAGATTTACCAGATCTCGATGTCCTTGTTTTTGCCTCTTTTAGATCTTCTTTCAAATTGACATTACAAGATTTTGAAAAAAAAAAAATACAAAATTTGAAACAAAAACTCAAGGAGGAAACCTAATCATAAGATATTAGCCTCCTCCTTGTTACAACCCAAGAAAATACAACTAAATCTCTACTAAAGATTAAAGCCAAAAACCAAATAAAAACAATTTTTAATGAAACAAATTATAAAGATACACATGTGAAACATATACCAACATTCATAGATCCCTAGGTGCCATATTTCATTATGCAAACTAATTACATGAATAACCTAAATCAAAGAACTAAATTCACACCCAAACACACAATCTGTCTCAGATACCAATTGTAGGCGTAATTGGATCTGCGGAAGCATTAAGATCTTTTCGGTTTGGAATACAATAGATCATCATGATTCAAATTTACCTCTTATAGTATAGGCCCACAAGAAACATCCCTTGTCTAGGTTCAATGCTCATTCTCGCCTTTGTTGCCACGAGATGACCTCTGCAAAGACTGGCCTCCTGAGCGTCACAACATGAACCTCCTTGTTTAAGATTACTTCTAGTAAATCTTTCAAGCTATCTACCAAGAGGGACGGGATCGTGTGTGGGCACTCTCTCACTTTTAGAAAAATGACCTTACCTCAGTCAATGCAGCTACAGAAGACCAGAGGATGATGACTAAAAGTGGAGAATATAAGGGTAACAAGAAATCCTAGCCCTAAGCTGATTAGGCTCTTCTCACATAATAGGCCCAATTGAGCTTTAAGTGAAAGAGCATAAACCTAACAATCTCCCACTTGCTCTTGAGTACAAACTAAAGCTCAAAGCTCAAGACCATGTAACTCAATTGCCCTCATCGACAGAAAATACCCCATCCCTTGTCCTAAGCTAGCCTTGGGATCTACCATCTATTATTAATCAAGCTCATAATAATCAACGAATAGTTATCTAATTCGATTCTACTCCACTAATAGCCTGAACTTTAACTCTAAGATTAATAATACATATAACATGAATATGCATAACCCCTTTGTAGAATGTCAATAATTCATTGATGAGTTTTATGTCACTGAATCAATTATTTATTCCCTTGACTGTGATAGTTTCTCCAATAGCTTACATGCACTGGCCAGTATCTTCAATATCCAAGTACAAAAAATATATAAAAGGGACATATCCTACAAATTTTATGTTATTTTTCTAATATGGTACCAAGAAACCCTAGCCTTAAACTGTTTGGCCTCTAGACTTGTTGAACTCTTCTCACACTATCGGCCCAATTGGGCTTTAAGTTACCGAGCATAAACCCAAAAATATAAATACTTTTAATAATTAATAGAACAACTATTAAATGTATAACAGATAATGGTTGTGTTTTTTTTTTGTAATTCAATATTGCTTTATGATTTTGTATATGATAGTTTTCATATATATTTAAAATTTAAGACTCGTTTATTAAAATATTATAAATTTTAATGAGTATTTAATATGAAGTATTAGTGGTCAAATCATCCTTCTTCATTAATCTTGCTTTTTTTTAAAACCAAAAAAAAAATTAAAATAATTTTGTATCCAAAGTAAATAAGTAAAAATGTATTTATCTTAAATTTTAGTGGTTGAAAATCCCGGTACATTTGAAATTCAATTAACAACAGATTCATTTTTTATTTACTAACTTCAAAAATAAATTTACTTTAAAGGAACTTTATCCTATTTTTTTTTTTTTTTTTTGGTACATTTTATCCTACTTTTCAATAATATAATGTTTTGTTATGAGTTTAGTTTTGAAATATTGTTAACGTAAAAGAGTTTTATACTATCATTAAATGAGTTATTTATATTTATTTCACAAGTTTTACATTTCGTCCCATTGGTAACACAATTAAACTCGGTAGATACTTTTAATTCAATTTTAGATGTTTATATTTAACAGTTTTAATTTTGTTTGTGATAGGATATTGTGACACATAAATAATGTTACGCACAATGTTACGACCACATCTTAACCGTTGATTTCTGCCAATCAACGGTTATTATTTATTGCGAATTAATAATTAATTAATGAGTTTGATTTAAAAAATGACAACCGTTGATTGGCCGAAATCAACAGTTAAGATGTGGTCGTAACATTGTGTGTAACATTATTTGTGTGTCACAATATCCTGATATAAATAAATCAATGATTAGATTACCCGTAAAATTTTTATGTTATTTGCTTCCCAAAGGTATACACGCAGAAACTTTAGACCTAGAGAAAGCAGAGGAATTGTACAAGAACAGAGAAGATGAGGCAGAAAAGAGTATTCCAGAGAACTATCGCACATGTTATCGCTTCTTCCGTGGACTGTTGGGTCAACTGCCATTCATTGGTACGTGAATTACATCGATCTCACATAGTCAGAGTCACATGCTATTTTCCTTTTTTTCTTTTTTTTTTTTTTTTTTTTTTTTTAACAGGAGAGGTTATCATCGTTTTTTCCAAACAACTTTTCGTAATGATTTTTGGAATTAAGATAAGTTATTTCCAGTTACAACAAAATAATATCGTTTTGAGATTGAAAAAAATATTTGTAATTTTAATTTATTCTAGCGTTAGATAGTCTTTATCTTTATAATTTTTTAATTTTTCAACTCTAAAATGATATTATTTTGAGCTTACTAAAAATAACTTATCTTGTTGACTTACGGAGGGAGAGTTTTTTCAGTATTTCAGATTACCTAAATCCTTTCTAAAAAAGATAAAAATTTGGAATTTAGAGTAGAAAAAAGTATAGATTCAAATGGAATAAAATTTTTCCAATTTAGGAAAAAGGATTACCGAATTCGGTATTCATGTATAATCCAAAAAATATCGTAACTGAGGCATAAAATATATACAGGAGCAGAAAACGTGCGAGGGGAACTAGAAGTTGCACAGAAAGATCGAGTATGTAAAATATCAATGCCAGAAGATTATGGTGGCGAGCGTGTACCGCAAAATTATAGTACCTGTCTTCAGTTTGCGAAGTTTGCATACATGTATAGTCTTGGCATTTCAGGAGTGGGTATGCCTCTTCTCCAAATTGATTTCTCTTGATTTTTAACTTGCTTTGCTACATAATTCAAACTTTGATCATCCACAAAACGTTGGGGTATAATTGACTAGCACGATTGCTCTTGTTCCATGATGCATGTGTTCTTAATTCATTAAGGTATTGAGAATATGAGGAAGATGAAGCAAAAACACAAATGGAGCGCTCAGCTCTTGAGCTTATTTATGGAACATCCCCATGAGTCCTACCTGGGAACTGGGGGTGCACCAGCACGAGATGAGAGTGATGAGGATGAAAAAGATTTCATCAAGTTTGGGAAAGGTATGTAAATTATTCCAATTGTATGGGAATTAATTCTCTTTATGTCTTATTTCAACATCATGATTAGATTACATGAAAAATCTCACTCATTCGTTAACGGGAAATAATTTTCTTATGTTAGTAGGAAAATGCTTATCTTAGGTTGTAGAAACAAGATTGTAAGTGGGACCCATAGGTAAGAGGAGAGAAAAAAAAAAGAAATGGGACTCAGCTAGCTTTTGTGTGTGTAGGAAATGTAGTTATCTTATGTAAAAGTAGATAAATATAACCCTTCATTAATAGATTAATAATAAGCAATTAAAGTAATCATTATTGTGACCATTAATCTCTTGATGAATAGTTGAGATTTATCACATTTTATAGCTTGTAGAAATAAGACAGAGGATTAATCATTCCCAGATTAATCATGTTCAAAATCGAACCCATTATAAGAGCTCTCCCAAGATCATTTTTTCATTCCAAACTGAGACATCTGGTTAAGTAAAACAAGCTTTTTGAAGAAATGACTATTGATTGATATCATTTAATTTACCTTATAATAACTTGCATGATGTATTTAAGAGGGCAAGGACAAGCAGAGTCAAACTAGCACAATGCAGGAGAATCAGCAAGCAAAAAACAAAGTTGACAGTGAGGAGACAACAATTATAACTGCAATGAGGAAGGGCATACCTGAAATTGTGAGTGAGATTCTATCTAAAATACCAAAGGCCATACAAGAAACTAAATCAGAAAAGAGAAAAAAAATTGACGGAGAGGAGACAGCGCTTTTGGTTGCAGCAAGAAATGGCATAGTTGAAATGGTGATTGGGCTTCTATCTAAAATACCAAATGCCATACATGAAACTAACTCAGAGAAGAAAAACGTATTGCTTGTGGCAGTGGAGAACAAGCAACCCCTTGTTGTTGAGGCATTAAGAAATTATCAATTTGGTGAGGAGAAATCGAACGTAATCTTCAATAACCTAATGCTAACTGATGATATCCATGGGAACACCATGTTACATTTGGCAGCAACACCAGGTGAAAAGGGTTGGCATATCGCTGGGGCTGCCTTGCAAATGATGTGGCATATCAAATGGTTTCAGGTACATAATTATAATACTAGCATGAGTCCAACTCCAACTTGACCTTATATAAGATAATGTACGATTAATTCTTACACTCATTATTAATAGTTGATTTTTCTTCTATCTAACATTTCTAATTCATTGGAGATGAAAGTTCACTTGAATAGTTCGATCTGAGTGAAATCATAGTTATCAAATGCGGATTGCGGCATGTCACGGCCAACCCCAAAAAACCCTATAGCGTTATAGCGGGTTACGGTTGCAGAAATAACAGAATAGATATATGACAGAAATAATGACAAAATTTTTTTTTTTTAAAAGGCAGAGATAACAGAAGTGACAAAGAGACATAGATAGACTAAAAAACCTTTAAATTTTTTCCGTTACACATTTAAATTTAGGATAAAATTGACATTTTGCTTTATAACAGCAATATGGCCGCAAATGCGTTGCAATGACCACTATTGCGTTCCGGTGCGACGCTGCGCGGTTTCTTGCAACGAGGCACTGCAACGTCCATACGGTACGGCTCGCGGCGCTATTGCGGTACAATTAACTACTATAAGTTAAATCAACCGTTAATAATGAGTGTAAGAATTTTTATTTTCACACAAGTGTAAATTGATCCCTCTCCCAATTTAAATATATGGTACATTGATTTTTTCTTCTCCCCTTTTTTTTTTTTTTTGTAAATATCAACCGGGGTTCAAAGTCCTAATAGATCCAATTAATATGATTTCGGATTTATGTCTCTTCACCCTTTCTCAAGAATTATAACTCTTAAAAAACAAATTCACTATCCTTAGACAGGTCAAATCTCGAGATCTATCTCATCAGTCATCACCACCGTCGGCAAATCTCTTAGTTTGTTCTGAAGAATTCATATAAGAAGATTGCTGCTATCTAGCCCATAATTATCCGTCACTCGTTTGCATTGTCACACACATATTAGTAGCTGAGTAATTTGATTTTTTATGTTTCTCAATAACATAAGACATATATGTTCATCCATTGAATCTACCATATGGAGCAGTATATTAAAGAACTAGTGCCAGAGCATTTCACTGTTAGAACCAACGACGAAGAGAAAACAGCATGGGAAATCTTCAAGGAATCACATAAAGACCTCGTCAAAGATGGTGGCTCATGGCTCAAGGACACATCCGAATCTTGCTCAGTAGTGGCAGCTCTCATAACTGGTGTTTCATTTGCTACATGCAGCTCTATCCCTGGTGGTAACAAAGGTGATACAGGTGAACCTGCATTAGAAGGCAAGCCTGCATTCGAGGCATTTGGTATATCTTCGGTGTTTGGCCTTTGCTTCTCTGTCACTGCACTGATAATGTTCCTTTCTATACTCACTTCTCGAAAAGAAACCAAGGATTTCAGGAAGGATTTGCCAATTAAGCTTTTTCTGGGGTTGAGTTCTCTTTTCTTATCAATTGCTGCAATGATTTTTTCTTTCTGCTCTGGCAATTTCTTTGTGATTGAAAACAAATTCAAGGAGATATTATTCCTCATTTATGGAGTCACTTGCTTGCCTGTGTCTTTATATGCTGTAGCACAATTTCCACTATACACTGATCTTCTCAAAGCTATCATGAAGAAAGTGCCACAGCCAAGTGATAAAAGTGGTCATTTATTATAGAGGTGCTTCTTTTTTATTCTGTTGTAAAGTGTGATGAATTGAAATTGTGTTTTGCTTGTTCAAGTAACAATAACAATGGCTTTTGTACTAATATTGTTTGGAGCATTATATGATGTTGGATTGTGATTATATATAAGTGAGTTTGTATATATTATCGTGGGCTATTTCAATGCTTAAAGCTGACATATTATTGTTGCATGTCTACCCTTGATTTATCGGAACTTTTCTTTCTAATTAATTGATAACTAGCTACCGCAATGAATGCTTTGATGAAAAGTACTAAAAAAAATATGAAACCCCAATAAAGACGACGAGATATGAAGGCTTGAAAACGTGTCTTATAGGTTTAAGGCCAAAACAAGGAAAAAGTAGGTATCTCAAGTTTTGTTCAATATATTGTCTTTTACACACCATGGACGAAACAATCCAGGTTTACGTGGTATCATGCAAAGAAAGAAAAAGACAAAAAAAATAGTATAAAAAAAAATAAAAGATAGGAAAAGTACTGAAGCGGAGGATTTTTATTTCTATTCTCTGACATATATTAACTGATGGAAAAGAAAAAAAAATTAAACAAAGGAAAAGAATGACAATTTATATAAATAAATTTGAGATTACTATATATTTTTTATTCAATAAAACTAATTTAGTTGAAATATATATTATTACATTTCCCACTCATTCCTCGCAAGGGACAATGTAAAATATGACTCCTATATAAAATGCACCCATCCAACTCTCTTTATTTTAACTAAAAGTTTGATTTAATGGAAGGCACGTCCTTTTGCAATATCAGAAAGACTATCGACATTAGTCAGTTTACTCTGGAATTATATATCACCTATCATTCAAAAAATTCAACTAAATATGTCAACTCTATTTGTGACATCTAATGTAAAGGAACAGTGACCAAAGTGTCACTGTTCCCCATCTTATTTTCCTAAATGTCACGCCAACAGTGTTATTTTCCAATATGCCACGGGGACAAGTTCGCTGGGTAGTGTAGCGAACTCGATGTGCTGATGTGTCACATTTCTGATGGACACCAAGATCGCTGGTGTCAGTAGCGAACTCTGAAGCAATTAATGCTGACACAAAGAACAAGTTCGCTGCCACATAACACATAGTTCGCTGAAGGGCGTAGCAAACTATGTGCCTTCCAAAATTTTGAAATCTGATCAATTTACTTGTTTCTTTTTGTTGCACGGCTTTCGAAGAAAAACAATTATATTTCTTGTTGAATCATGCTATTGTTTGATGGGAAATAATTGTCTCATTTTACATGAGATAACTATCTCATGTTTCTCTCACATAAAAAGTTATGACATCATTTTTTCTTTTTTCTTTTTTTAATGGATGGTGGGCTCTACCATATTATGTATCTATAGTAGGAGATACTTATCTCCTACAACATGAGAAAAATAGAACCCTTGTTTGATTATGTGTGCAACTTTCGTTGCAGGTAGGAAAATAGGCTATATAGCAGGCAAGGCGAAGACGCAACGTCAAAGGCTATGGCAGCAATGCCGCAATAGTTACAGTGGTTACTGCAGAACATACGTGTATCAACCACTTTGTTGAATTATTTTATATTATACATTGATATTATTTGGGTGCTGATTTTTACATGCATGAATTTATTATGCTATTTTTTGGTTTATTTTTGTTTTGGATTTTGTTTTTATTTTTTAATACAAGAAAAATATATGCAACCTGTGTTTCGATTTTGTATATTTTTGAAAGGATATTATTGTTCGTCAATAAATATATTGGCCGGATAATATTTTAAAATTAACTAGTACATTCAGTAATAATATTCATGCTGCATTATTATTTAAGTTGATATTTTATTTATTTGTTTGTTTTGAAAATGATATCATGCAAAATTCTTCTGGTCACCGTCCCAAAAATTCATCTTGTGCGCAAAAGCCGAAAACAACGTAACCAGTATATGCAACAAATCCATAATAGCGTGATTCAATGTGAAATATAATTGTTTTTCTCGAAATCCGTGCAACAAAATAAAAGTTCTGAAAGGCACATAGTTCGCCATCCCTCTCAGCGAACTATGTGTACGTGAGACACCACTCACATCTAGTTCGCTGCCACATGCAGCGAACTTATTCTTTGTGTCAGCATTAATTGCTCCAGAGTTCGCTACTGACACTAGCGACTTTGGTGTCCACCAGAAACGTGACACATCAGCACACCAAGTTCGCTACACTGTGTAGTGAACTTGCCCCCGTGGCAGATTGAGAAATAACACTGTTGGCGTGGCATTTAGGAAAATAAGATGCAGAACAGTGACACTTTGGTCACTGTTCTTAATGTAAATTAGTCAGATGCCTTTTCAGGGATCTAGAACCTGGCTTGCCTTACCAATGTAAGAATAATTTGCATATATATATATATATATATATATATATATATATGGGAAAAATGTGTATAATTTTAAAAGATGTAAAGTTGTGTTATTTTAAGAGAGAGAAAGAGATAGATAAAGTAGGAGAGAGAGTTGACAAAAAAAAATAAAGGTGTGGGTCCCGCCTCTTTGTGAGAGTGAAAGGATGTAAGTTGTGTAATTTTAAATGATAGACACTTTTCCCTATATATATATATATATATATATGAGAACGGTTATACTTACCACAAGATAAGTTTACCACCCTTACAATCAATCTCCTAACCGTTAGATTAAAATTAAATCCAACGGTTCATAATTATCCCTTATAATCCTAATTTTTACTCTCTCATCCCCCCCCCCTCTCTCTCTCTCTTCAAATTCTTTGAAGGTGAGTTCCCGTTTGTTGCCTGGATCTACGGTCCACGTTGCTCGCAGAGGAAGAAGCTCGTGGCTGCCAAGTCCATCTTGTTCGTACCTATAAAATTAAAATTAGGAAGAACTCAGGAATGACGAGCACAACGCATTTATTTCTGATTTCTGATTCTCCATTAAAAACAAAAGAAAAATTAACAAAAGAAAAACAAAAGAAATTGGTATGTCTAATTCCAAATTCTCCATCTTGTTCATACCTATAAAATTAAAAATTAGGAAGAACTCAGGAACGACGAGCACAACGCATTTATTTCTGATTTCTGATTCTCCATTAAAAACAAAAGAAAAATTAACAAAAGAAATTTGTTATGTCTGATTCCAAATTCTCCATCTTTGTACCTATAAAATTAAAATTGTTATGTCTGTGTATCTTTTATTTCTGATTCTTCCATTCTCCGTTAAAAACAAAAGAAAAATTAACAAAAATATATATATATGATGATTGCATTGCATCGTTATATCATTTCTCACTTTCCTTGATTCAATATTGTTATTAACACCTGCCTTTCGTTTTTCTTTTTTCTTTTTAATTTTCTTTTTTTGCACTGTAAATGTTTGGAAGAATTTGGTGCTAATTTTAATCTCATGCAGATCCCAAACCTAGAGGGAGAGAGAGAGACAGAGAGGGAATGTGAGAGTAAAAATTAAGATTATAAGGGATAATTATGATCCGTTGGATTAATTTTAATCTAACGGTTAGAAGATTGGTTGTAAGGGTGGTAAACTTACCTGGTGGTAAGTATAACCGTCCCCTATATATATATATACATACATATCAATCAGAAAAATATTTCTACAATTAATGCAGATAAGTTATTTGCAGTTAATGCAGATAAGTTATCTGCATTTATTTCCAAAACGACGTCATTTTGGGATTGAAAAATTAGAAAATTATAATTATAAAGACTATATAACCCTGAAATAAATTAAAATTACAAAAACACCATGATTTCCACTCCAAAACGACGTCGTATTGGACTTACTGCAGATAACTTATCTGCAGTAACTGCAGAAAAAATGAATATATATATATATATATATATATATATATATATATATATATATATATAGGGCTTAACATTTCTGCAGCAGCCGTAGATAGTGTTATCTACAGCTGACATAGAAAAGTGGACCCCACGGCTTTAAAAAAAAAAAAAAAACTCAGGATCCGGACGCGGATCCTTGCTTGCTGTAGGTACAGCAGCTGCAGAAATCATTTTGCCATATACGGCTTAACATTTCTGCAGCAGCCGTAGATAGTGTTATCTACAGCTGACATAAAAAAGTGGACCCCACAGCTTTTAAAAAAAAAAAAACTCAGGATCCGGTGCCGTATCCCAGGATCCGGACGCGGATCCTTGCTTGCTGTAGGTACAGTAGCTGCAGAAATCATTTTGCCATATATATATATATGGGTTTGGTGTTTGTCATTTTAAATGACATAAGTTATGTCATTTTAGGAGAGAGATAGACACAGAAAAACAGAAATCATGGGAGAGAGAAAGTGGGTGATTTTTTTTAATTTAAAATTCAAATTTTCTGTGTCTGTATCTATGACATAACTTTCTGTCATTTAAAATGACAAACACTTTTTCCATATATATATATATATATATATATATAGAGAGAGAGAGAGAGAGAGAGAGAGAAGAGGGGTTTGAAGGTCAGTCATGCTCATGCACAACTTTGCGAAGATTAAAGCCAAAATTGAATAAAAAAGTAATCCATTAAGCAAATTACACAGTTCAGCTAAGTGCCAAGGTTAGGTGCCCGGGTTGACACTGGTGGGCCATGAGAGTATCTCCACTGGTTACAGGCTGAGCATTTCTCCAACTTTACAGTGTTTTCCAACGTACAGAATTTACAAGACCAAGTGTCGTACTTGGTATTAACATCTTTTGGCTGTTGCGTGCCGCACAACTCACATACGGGAGCCAAAATCTGCGTTGGTCCAGCATCAATCACATGCATTAGAAAAGGCATTATGCTACAAAACCACAATAAATTTCAAGAGTAAACTATACCCTAAAATATATATTACTTATACTTGGTAACAACCCGAAAAAGAAAAAGTCTGCAATGAATGAATGCAGTATATTTGGATGCTTACTTTATTCAACAGAGTGCACATTGGACACTCCCACATTGCAGGTTCTTCAGAATGAAGTGTTCTATTATCACCAGATAGTAGCCCAGATTGACTTAATAAATTTTCAGAACTAGATCCTTCTTGAGAATTGGATTGAGAATGTGAAATGCTTTCTAATCCAAAACATCTTCGTTTAGATCCAGTCTTATGTTCAATGACAGTTCCAATTTTTGATGTATCCACAGTCAAATCTACAAATTTAGGACTACTAGACGAGTGAACCGGTAAACTTGAATCTGTATCACGACTTCTTTTTCGAGACATCAGATCCAATGGTAGAGTATATTTGGATGTTAGGTTTGAGTTTCCCACATTTTTCCCCTTGTGTACTAGATTCTCAGCAGGTTCATGGTTAACATCTTCATCATCCGAATGTTCACAAGATTGAGAACCACACCATATATCATCCTGTAATCTCCTTTCTGCAGCCATTGCAGCAGCTTGTACTGGACTAAGTGCCTCCATTATAACACTATCACCACCCAGACGTTTTGGCCCAGATGGAAGACGAGACCCCAATCGTAATCTCTTTTCGGACGCTGCTAGTGCAGTTTTACGGAGAGACAAAGGCGGAGGTTGCCGTGAATAACCACCTAAACGCCTTCCTGGAAGGTCAAATCCCTCTCCTGCGCCAGTTATTCCCTTAGCCATCAACTCTTCACATTCCTGTGTACGATTAATAAAATGGATACAAGAAGGACAAATAAATAAAAGCAAGAGCATGATTATAATAACTCACTAAGAAGAAAAACACAGTTTTCTGCTTAGAATTGTCAGCTGGAAACAAGTATTTAGAACAATCATAAGCAACAGTGAACCGATGTTTCAACTTTCCAACCATTATTTAAATAAAAACTGGCCTATTGAAGTATATTGGTTTTTAAAACAAAAGTAAATAATTCATCAAAGAGAATGTTTCATGGAGAGGATGCTGTAAATATCTATTTAGCTACCTGCGTTTCCTAGTATGACCAGTTGTTGGAGGTAAGTTGCTAGGAAAATATAGTTCTATCCTCCTTCTATTTCATTTTCTTTTATTTATTTATTTATGAATTTCATTTTTATTAACTTCTAATATTGTTTGAAATCTTAGCTAATAAAAATGCTCAAAGAACAATAGAACTTCTCATCCATTAAAATCAATAATCTGAGAACTTCAGTATCTTATATGTAAATCATAACAATCTGATGATCCTGATCCTTGCATAGAACAGGAACTCTGATAATGAAATCCATGGCTAATATCTTTTTTATGTGGCAAGAAGGTGAGAAACTTAAGCCTTAAACAAGAAAATCATTGGATATAAAATGCACTTGAAATAAAGTGTGACAAATATAGCCCCTATAAAATCCAAAAGGTAATTGTCTGAAGCAAAGAAGGCACATTTCAAGAGGCAGTAAATCTAGTAATGATCATTTTAACAAAATCAAGGGAACAAGGAGAACCTTTCTAAGTTCATCCCAGAGGTTGTAGAAGTTAGCATTATGAGGACCATGGACATTATGACAAAGCTCATGAAGCATCGTATCCAGAACTTGATCAAATGGGAAGAAGTCCCAATCTCTGTTTGGTCTTCGGAGCCGCAACTTCACGTGTATACCAGCTCCAACATTCAACCCCAAGAGAGACGGATTGCTTGGGCTGCAATCATGTGGACTAGTTCTTTAGACATTCCACAAGAAGTAACAAAAAACGGCAACACAAATTACCTATGTCAAAATCAATATTCATTACATTTCATTTCCCAAATTGAAAAGCAATTTGGGATGTTTAAGCAAAAGCAGACAGCTGCATAAGCAGCAAGACCGATGTTTCTATTCAAACTATTCTATTTTGATTAGCAGAAATTAAAATCATAACATGTTTTAAACAAAAAAAAGAGGTCTGAATCTGCCTTAAAAATGTTTTATGTTACTACAACCCCTTCTGAGAAAATAAAATCTGAACTCAATCAGATTTCAATATAATCAACAAGTACATAGACTGAAATTCATCACCAACTCCTCAAGCAAAAAGGGGTCACAAAAGCTGTTAATTTTTTACTAAAAAATAATCAATGATTAGAACGGTGGTTTTCACTCCAAGATGAAAACTTTCATCTCTCTAACTCCATTGCTTCTTTTTTTCTTCATTACCCATTAACGAAAACAAAAATGGGAAGTGAATAGCACGGAAAAATGAGAAAGAGAGATAGAGAGAGAGGAAATTTTGAATTACCAGAATTCAGAGAGAAGCTTGACCCTCCATTTGTGTTTACGCATGATGGGCTGCACCTGTTTGGCGATCTTCTCCAACATCTTGGTGGCTTCTTCTTGCCCGGGCTTCCTCTTCAGAGCTTTGATTTCCCAAACCTTGTTGAGGTCGCCCAAGTTCATCGTTCCGAACCCTATAATCCCGAAATCTAGAAAAAAAAATATTAATTGAGGGAGATGAAGGAGAATCAACAGTGAGGCATTGAAGAATCTGAAGAGAAGGGTGATGATTGGCTGCAGATCGCAGAGAATTTGATGCGATTGGTGAAGAAGAAGAGGGAAACTCCAAACTACGACGAAATGATAGCCTTCTGTTGAGGTTTGATACCCCCCAATTTCAAACGCGCCAGGTTGGGTGGGATTTTGAATTTTTTCACATGTGGGGCATCGTCTTCCAAAATTAATATTAGAAACAAAGATGTATTATTTCCAAAAAAGGAAAAAGAAACAAAGATGTATAAAATATCGGGAAGATCACTATCTTATATTTTAAGGGGCGTTTTGTTGGGAATGAATTTTATGAATAATAGAGAAATGATATTCATAGAAAAATAGTAAAAAATGGTAGGAAAGTGAGTTTGGTAGGAGAATATAAAAAAAAAAAAGTTGTTTGGTTGAAAAAAATTTAACCTGAAAAATTAGGTAAATTTTATAAAGTCTATGTTTGGTTGTAGATAAATATAGATGGAAAAAAGTTGCTATTACGAAAATATGTCTGTTAATTTTTGTAATGTGTATCCCTGCAACATCTGCAGTTGGCTTTCCAAATCCAATTGCTTCCTCAATCTTCTCACCAACATCTTGAATGAAATCCTTTACCGTATCAAGGAATCCACCCTTCCCATCATCTTCCTTTTTCTTTTCATCCTTAGTAGATCAATAACTTGCTGAAAGAAAAACATCAACAATCAGGATCACACCCATTAGGCACTAGACACAGATACAAACAGATTATTCGCAATACAAAGTTACAATCTTTTGATCATCAGTTTCCAGTAATCAAAATGAAGGGTACCCAAAATCACAACTTAATCAACGATCACTTTCAAAGACACCAACCAACAAAATCCAAAACATAAAAACACAAGGTGAAGACCTGAGAACCCTTCTTCACCTACATGCAAATGGGTCGTCAGAGGATATACTATCTTCAGAGGATAGGGTCGTCATCTGCTTATTAGACAATGTGAAAATTTAGGTAGATAAGCGGAATACCACATCTAAAGTGGGAATATTTGCGCAACAATTTAGATCCAAATAGCCATGTAAATGGGTTACCTAGCAAACTGATTTAGGTGCACAAATTTGGAAGCTGGTCAACCAAACATGGATACTTTATAATTCCACTTCTAATTTTCCTATCTATCTCACCACAATCCTCCAACCAAACACATCCTGAGACAAACTCATTCTTGGGCAACTCTGTTGACGTGGCGTCTCCTCCTTCAGTTTCACTTTTGTGTTCACACTGCACAAATTTAAAAATCTTTCCTTCTTTGGTAAATCAGTGAATAAAAAAATTATAAAACTAAAACCAATTTTGAAAGTAGTTCATTCTTTGAAAAGTTTATGATTACTTACTGGCTCAAGTTTCTGAAGTTGAGCTATTCTTTAAAATTTAGCAGCCTAAGCCATTATTTCTGAGTTGTTTGAGGACAATCAAGAGTTTACTTTTGGGGTGTTTGATGGGACGAAAATTCGTTCTCATCTAAGCCCATTTTGATGGCAAAATGTCATCCGTTCCCTCAACTAATGAGCAACTTTAGCACTAAAAGAACATATTTAATATCTTTAAGACAAAAACATAGTGGGGAACGGATAATGACGTAATCCTTTGGAAAATATATAAAAAGGGGAACGGATTAAGAACAATAAATACACCTGCTTCACTTACTCAATCTCTCTGACCACTTTTCAGGAAACGTTGAAAAGAAGTTTCCATAAAGCATAAGCGATGCAGCCATCAAGCAAGAGGAAACGTGCGCAGCAGAGAATAAAGGTCTCCTAATGGCTAAAGAGGAAAGCAAGGCATGGGGATGGTCAGAACGAAAGACAAATCTCAACAATAACTGTCTCATCCAGCCACTTGCACCCTTCGAAGCACTGTTCACACCGCCTCTATCACGCAGTCAAGAAAACAAATCCAAGAGAATTACAGACTTTGCCATCCGCTCTTCTGCTATAAATAGGACGTTCCAGCACGAAGACAATCATCGAATTCCTTAAGAAGAGATCACTTAGTTTATTTTGTAGTTTTTAGTTGTACAGTTTTAACTTTAGTTAAGTGACAACACTTCTTCTTCATTCTGTATCACCCACTTAAGACTCCTCATGAGCAACAACCATATTCTCCACTTTTCATTTTGTTGTAATCAATTTGGTTTCATTTAAATACAAGTGTTATTTCTCTCCTTTCCATTCGTTATCTTTGAACGGAATCTCGGGTCTATGGGATTTCAGTTTGGAATAATTATGTTTAAACTAGTAGCCATGGGCTAAACTATATGTGGAATGGAAAAACTACAAAGTTCTTAAAGAATTATTTTTAAAACTCTTGTATTACAGCTTTTGTGTTTCTCTGGTTAAGTGAGCTATATTCATTGTGTATTGATGGGACGTAAATTCGTTCCCATCTAAGCCCATTTTGATGGCAAAATACCATACGTTCCCTCATCTGATGAGCAACTTCAGCATGAAAATAACTTGTTTTACACATTTGTGACAAAAACACAGTGGGGGAACAGATGGTAACATATTCTTTAAAATATATTAAAAGGGGAACGGACTGAGACGCATTTAATGCACCTGCTCCATTCATTTAATGCTTCTGTACACTTTGCAGGTAACGTAGAGTTAAAGACTTCTAAAAAGCAAGGCGGTGCACCAACTGAGCAGCCGGAAACGTGAAGAGCAGAGAATCAAGAGTTCTCATTAGCTGAAAAAAAAAGCAAAGCATGGGAAGGTCTGCAAACAACGCCTAATCATCACCAAACCCTGTTCCATCCAGCAATTCACGCAAGTTTCACACTCTGCTGCCACAGTCCCGTCCCCTCATTCATGCAACTAGCTCCAAAGGAATTACAGTCTTGTCACTCCTCTTCCAGCTATAAATAGGACCACCCTCAATCAAAAACATCATCGAATCCTGGAGGGTTTGCAGTCCGAAAGGAAGAGATCACTTAGTAGTAGTTAGTAACTTAGTTTAATTTTAAGTTGTAACTGTAGTTAAGTGACAACCCCTCTTCTCTTCTCTATAAACAACCATCAAGACTCCTCACGAGCAAATACCCATCTTTCTCCATTTTCTGTTTCTTTTTGTAAACTGTCTTTTAAATTAATATAAGTGTTTTTCTCTTCGTTCCAATCGTTATCGCTTGACTGAATCTCGGGTCTATGTGATCTCAGCAGTTGAGAATAATTATGTTTAAACTATCAGCCATGAGCTGAACTATCTGTGGAACGGGTAAACTGTGAAACTCTTAAAGAACTGTTTTCAAAACTCTTGACCGAAGCTTTTTGTATTTCTTTGGCTAAGTAAGCTATATTCATTGTGCGTCAATGGAAATTGGGTACATACTGAGAAAGGAACTTCCATAAGGAAGGGATGTCAGACAGCTTAGCCATTGGGGGAAGGTAGATGTCATGGCAAAAACGCTACTAGTCACCTTAGGAATAAGGGGCCAACTCGTCCATTTTAAGGTTCTGAACTAAGTACCTGTTGGAGTCAAGGGAGCCATAGGAATATGGAAACTTGTGAGCCATCTAGACCATGAGCTGAGGAATCAGAGTTGGTAGGAAAAGAAACTGGGACAAAGCCAAAAGGTGTTAAGTCTTGAGCAGAGAAAACAACCCCTTTAAGAGTGAAGCAGTGAATCTGTTCCTTCTGTTAAACTGTTTTAACCACTACCATGTTGTCTCTTGATTATAGTTATTTTTGTTTTAGTAGTTTTTATTTTATTTTATTTAGTACTTATAAAAACTCCAATGATTATTATCTCACCTTCTTCTAAACAGGAAGGATCACATACATAACGCAGCGAGCAACTGTTTGCCATCAGATTGAACCTACTGTTCCAGAGGAACGTTGTCAAGACAGTAGGGAACGTTTGACCAAACAGTTCATTTACTAAATTTTCTTCTCATTTTCATTCTTTATAAACAATGATAAAACAATAATTACCACTCTATCCTCGTGGAAACGATAATTTGGGCATTAATACTCCCTTTATTACTTGATGCGTGCACTTGCGCACTTGGGTTGGAACTAAGGGACGAATCTGTGTTCTGCAAGAACAGAGGAACGTCCCCTATCAGAACTTATATTTTTCCACCATCAGCAAACCACCCAACATGTATCAATGCAAATTGAACACATACTGAGAAAGGAACTTCCATAAGAAAGGGACTTCAGACAGCTTAACTAGAGGGGGAAGGTAGTCTTGCGGAAACAAGACTGCTGGTTGTCTTAGGAATAAGGGACCACCTCGTTCACTTGAAGGTCCTGTACCCAGTACCTGTTGGAGTCAAGGGAGCCATAGGAATATGGAAACTTGTGAGCCATCTAGTCCATGAGCTGAGGAATCAGAGTTGGCAGTGAAGAGACTGGAACAAATACAAAAGTGTTGAGTCTTGAGTAGAGAAAATAATTGTTTATGAATGGAGCAGTGGATTCGTTCCTTCTGTTATTACTGTTTTAAAACCATTCATACTGTTGTCTCTTAATTATTGTTATTACTTTTACTTTTCCTTGTTTTATTCAATCTTGTATCTACAAAACTCCAATGAAAATGATCGTACCTTCTTTTATGAAGAAAGATTTCATACATAACGACGCGAGGAGCTGTTTGCTGTCAGATTGCACCTACTGTTCTTGAGGAACGTTGTCAAGATAATAGGGAATGTTTGACCAAACAGGTCAATTAATAACTTTTCTTTTCATTTTCATTCTTTGTAAAATAGTATAAGGCATTAATTAGAGTTCTATCATTGTGGAACGATAATCTGGGCATTAACACTCCCATTTATTACTTGATGTGTGCACTTGCGCGCTTGGGTTGAAACTAAGAGAGCAACTGTGTTTTCTCTTAGTGAACTGAGGAACGTCTTCATCATAATACATATTTCACCCAACAGCTTTTGACCCAACAGGTATATTTTCACAACTGATGAATGATTTCCCATATCTTTATTGGATTGTGTTTTATGTGTTCTTATGTTTTTATTATTCATATGCCAGGTTACGACATACATTACTTTTGGAACCATAAAGTCAATTGAA